GGAATGTTCTCTGATCTCTTGTCAGCTGTTCTCCAAACTCATCAGGCATTATAGGAGAAAACTCAGAGCTGTCATCTTGGGACAAGGACGTTGCAATAATTGGGTGCCATTAATTGTGGCTAATGTGAACTACAGAAAAACATTGATTTCATAATAAGATTTTCCCACCACTTTCCATTGTTTTACTTCAATGATAGGTTAGAATTTTGTGAATTTTTTGAATGAAAGATCAAAATTATAAATGATGCAGATTTATTTTCACAGCAACCTTTGCTCATATTTACCAAGGGTGCCAATATTAGTGGTTGGAATTGTAATGCAACTTATGACATCCAAGGGAAAGATATAACACCAACATGTCATAAAAAAATAAAAAAACAGAATCAATGGCACACAAAGCCATTTGACTTTCAACTATTATCAGCTGTGGTCATTTTGATTAGTTCAGCATGAAAAGAGCTTTCCTGGAGCATTTCAGTCCTTGTTAGTGCAACTGAAGCAAACAATCAACTATGGGTGGAAAGGCACTGTCAAAAGATCTCCGGAAGAAAGTTGTGGACAGGCACAAGTCAGGAGGTTAGGACGATTCCAAGTGTCTGACGAAGGAGAAGGGGCCTGGAACGCTCCCCAGTGTATGGGAGGGTTGCAAAAAAAAGCCACAAGCCACTCCTCAAGAAAGCGCACATGCAGTCATGAATGAGCTTTGCCAAAACACACCTTGAAGATTCTGAGGCAGATGAGACTAAAATTGAATTATTTGGCCTCAACACCAAACGATATGTCTGGCAGAAATCCAATACAGCTCACCATCCAAATAACAGCATTCCAACAGTAAAGCATGGAGCTGGTAATATTCTGATCTGGGGTGTTTCTCTGCTGGAAATATCCTGATCTGGGGTGTTTCTCTGCAGCAGGGACTGGAGCACTTTTCAGGATAGAAGGAAATATGGATGGGGCAAAATATCGTCAAATTCTTGAGGAAAATCTGCTGCCCTCTGCCAGAAAGTTGTCAATGAAAAGTTTTACTTTCCAATAGGGATGCACCGGTACCGGGCCCGATACTGAGCTCCTGTAATCGTACTCGTTAAAATGCCCCGATACCACACAGCATGTGATAAGTGCCATATTCAGACAAAGAAACACAGACAACAGACAGCAGAATGGAGTTATTAGAGATTAAAGATGTCTACGAAGTATAGTATAGTAATATAAAACATTCAGTATTAATGCCTGTATAGCTGATTTGCGCCAGCTGGTAAGCAAATCACGCTGAGTGGACTGAGGGCGCAGATGTGCGAGCTTGTCGAGTGAATATCCCTTTCTCACAGACATCACTGGAGAGTTTGTAGTTCGGTCGGATATGCCAAAAAGAAGTAAGTAAAACAATGCACAAGTTACTTAATGGTAGGGAGGGAGGGAGAGAGAGAGAACGCGACTTCTATTTATGAAAATATCACAGTTAGGAGATTTATAGCGAGTGGTTCACTGCATTTTTACAGCAAATCGCGTGATTACAGTACTGAGCCACTGCAACGGAGCAGCTCTAATGCTATTAGTTGAAGGTGTCTGAATAAATTTTGGTTTGACTGTATCTATTTGATAAATGAAGTTAACCAACTGACATTATACATACTCTTTTGGTTTCTGTACCCAATATTTAAAAAATGTACAAATGCAATGAAAATATTGGTATCGGTACTCGGTATCGGCAAGTACCAAAAATAAAAGTATCGGTATCGGGCGAGTACTGGAAAAAGTGGTATCGGTGCATCCCTACTTTCCAACATGACAATGACCCAAAGCACACAGCAAAACTGAGCACATAGTGGTTGAAGGAGAAAAAAGTGAATTTCCTTGTCCACCAGTAAGTAAAGTATGACCCAGCTTTAACTGGAGAGCCACTCTGGGTACATGAGAACGCTGAAGCGATGTAACACTTATGGAATAAGCCTGATGCAGCAGTACGGTGGAAAATAAATACTTTAGAACAGAGTCCTCTATGAAGTCTGGGGAATGATTCATAAAATATAATTAAAGCTCTGACAGCAGCAGAATATTTCAAGATAACCTCTGTTGTCATGTTTCAGAGGAACACCACAGGTAGGGAGCAGCTCTGGATCTCAGCTGGTGGGTTATAACCCCAAAACAAACCACATATCTGGGGGGGAGGGGGACTATTCTAAATGCAAATAACATGCAGCTAATCATATTATCATGCAAATCTAAGATGACAAGTGGGCCCTGACTTAAACCCAATTGAGCATCTCTGGAGAGACCTAAAAATGGCTGTTCACCAACGTTTACCATCCAACCTGACCGAACTGGAGAGGATCTGCAAGGAGGGATGGCAGAGGATCCCCAAATCCAGGTGTGAACAACTTGTTGCATCTTTCCCAAAAAGACTCATGGCTGTATTAGATCAAAAGGGTGCTTCTACTAAATACTGAGCAAAGGGTCTGAATACTTAGGACCATGTGATATTTCAGTTTTTCTTTTTTAATAAATCTGCAAAAATGTCAACAATTCTGTGTTTTTCTGTCAATATGGTGTGCTGTGTGTACATTAACGAGGAAAAAAATTAACTTAAATGATTTTAGCAAATGGCTGCAATATAACAAAGAGTGAAAAATGTAAGGGGGTCTGAATACTTTCCGTACCCACTGTATATATATTTACACATTACCATTCAAGAGTTGGTAAGATTTTTAAATGTTTATGAAAGAAGTCTCTTATGCTCACCAAAGCTGGACTGATTTGATCAAAAATATAGTAAAAACAGTAATATTGTGAAATATTATCACAATTTAAAATAGCTGTTTTCTATTTGAATATATACAGTATATAGCCATTACTCCAGTCTTCAGTGTCACATGATCCTAATTCAGAAATAATTCTAATCTGCTGATTTGATGCTCAAGAAACATTTATTATTATTAACAATGTTGAAAACAGTTGTGCTGTTTAATGTATTTGTGGAAATTATGATTTTTTTTCAGGATTCTTTGATGAATAGAAAGTTCAAAAGAACAGCATTTAATTTGAATTAGAAATATTTTGTAGCATTATAAATGTCTTGACTGTCAATTTAGATCAATTTAATGCATCCTTGCTGAATAAGATTTTTTTAACAGTAGTTTAACAGTTCATATAGAATTCATAGGTAGACACAAACAATTCATATATATTTTAGTCACCACTTTTGCAATGTCAAATGTTGGTCCTAAAGCAAAATCATGTGAGGAGCACTGCTGCGGGGAACTGTCCCGTCCTCTGCTGACATACACCAGGAATAGTGAAGGCACACAGGAAGTGACTCTCTACCAGCACTGGCTGGAACTGGATATATAACAGGAAAAACTTCCTTCATAATGGGAAGGTTGATTCATCCTATTCACACGCAGATGATAGATGGGGCCGTCTCAATGATGCTTTCCCCTCACATTAATTTAGACAGATAACAATACAAGATCAAACGCTCCATGTCTAAAAACAACAAAAGGACACATATCACTTAAATTAGCAGTGAAAGGAGTCATCACACTGAGTGTACGCTAACAGTTTTTCTGGTTTAATCCTGTAATATATTAAAGCAGCTAGAGTCCTTTCACCTTAAACGCAAGTATTAAAAATGATTCATTTTCATTAATTGAAATAAAGCTCAAATAAAATATTAGAAATCTGGAACCAAAGCTGAAGTACTAAAATTATTCAAATTAAAACTGAAATAAATAAAATTAAAGCGAAATAGAAATATTTTAAAAAAATAATTTATTTAATAAAATGACAAAATCACAAAAAGTATTAACTTAAATTAAAAACTGAATATATAAAAATTAAAGCTAATTAAAAATATTAATATGTACTATAATAGTACATACAGAAAATAATACTAAAATAACACTGGGGCAGGTGGGCTATTAGTGATATACTGTAGTAATGTATGTCAAAGTTTGTCTCTGTACGCAAATACTTTTGATTCTGTAAGATATTTTAAGTAATATTTAAGCACATTCAAACTAATCAGCATTTTTGTGTACTTGAACACTTTTGGTATTTCATGAACTCTAATAAGCTATAAAGGTATATACAAATATATAAAGTCATATATTTCACACATTTATCTCTATAATAACAGCAGGCAGTGTGGAAACCAGAAAAACAAGTTTATTGCCAGGCATTCAGCATGTGCTCATATAACAGTGTTTTTGGTCAAGAGGGGTTCTGAATAACCAACATAGTGACCCAACAACTGTTTTCAACTGATAATAATAAGAAAGTTTCTTGAGCATCATATCAGCATATTAAAATGATTTCTGAAGGATCATGTGACACTGAACACTGGAGTAATGACTGCTGAAAATTCAGCTTTGCCTTCACAGAAATAAATTACATTTTAAAATATATTCAAATAGAAAAGTGTTATTTTAAATTGTAATAATATTTCATGCTATTACTGTTTTGAATGAATACAGCATTCTCTAATTCTCTGCGACTTTTATTACAGTTTATAAAAAGTCAGGGTTAGAGTAATGTGTATTACATATCTCCCTGATCATTCAAAGAGTGAGCGATCTGGCCTCCTTAAATATTGAGTTGTCAAACTCCGACGGTGCCAGCCAAGGTCATGAGCACCTCTCTCAGCCAAGTGGGGCTGGCATGGGCTCTGCTTCATCTTCTCCAAAATCATCACACAGCACTCCATCACAATCCTGAGACTACACTAAACCCACAGGGATCCTCAAAGCCAAACACTGCTATCACCCAACTCAAATCAGCTGAATACCATTCCAGAAAACCACAATCAACACACAAATGTCACTATTGTAACATTATCCAGACAATGCACCACTGTTCAGACCCTCAACGATGCCTCTCATTCCTGTTATTCAGAAAAACAAGCATCATACCAATAAAAAGGCTTATATAATATTGCAAATTTAAAACCCTTTGAAGTTGAGTCCTGCACAGCCACCGGTAAATTGTCCTCCACTGTGTCTTACCTGCCAGAATATGCTGTCGATTGTGTTTCCAAGGAAACCTTCCCGTGTTTCAGAAGACAGGAGCTTCGGTCCGAGTATCGTCATGAACTCATCAAAGTCCACCTGTCCATCACCTGAAAAACAAATTAAAGTCAGAATCCCGCTCGCATATCCCAAAAGCTAGATTTGAAATTAAGGGCATGATTTTATGACTGGAGGCATTAAAGGTGAGGTGTATCATATCTGAGCCACTAGAGGCAGAATTGTAGATCCCACCTTCTCGTACGGCATGATTGGTCGATTATGTACAACACCTGCACACTATTGGCCAAACTACTATACAGTTATTACCTTCAGCAAGCATGAAAACAATAGAAAAAACAAAGCCAAAACAGACATTTTAGGCAATTTAGAAATCTCAGCCAGGACATGTACGTGAAAAAGTGCACATATGGTCATTTTATCATTGATATCATTGATTTAACAAGCATCAGTATTAATTATTTACAAAAATGAATGACAAACACCTTTACTGCCGATCTTACGCTGTTCGTTGAAACCCAATCTCACAGCAATTCACAGTTTATTAGGAGGCTAATTCATATGACCTCACTCGTATTCTACGACGTGGTAAATTCGTAGGAATTCGTCCGAAAGACCACCCCTAAACCTACCCCACACAGAAATCATACAAAATCGTATGAGTGAGGTCGTATGACTTAGCCACCTCATAAAATACGTACGAATTGGTCATGAGATAGCGTTGGCCAAACAGGAAGACTCAATCATTGGTCTGAAATGAACATGTCAGACTGTTGAAAACACCACAGAGCCACACTGGGATATGATGAAGTATTTTAACATTGAAACACTCTCACTTAGTGATCAGAGTAATGATAGCACACATCACAGCTAAATACACTAACATGTCAGCTGTTCTGAGCAATCAGTATAAAAATAAACAAACATAATGTGTTTTTAAAAAGTGCTTTCAAAAAGTGTATGAATGAGTGCGACCTGTGCTTGCAAAACTACTTATTGGCTTCCTCAGACAGTGTAGAGCTCCTGAAGATGTGACAAGCTTCAGCTGAACTCTGAACATTGATGTGAATCATCAAGCGCTGCTGCACATCCGATTACATCTGCTGGCCAAATTCATCTGTTGTTTGGCAGTTCGGCTCACTGCAGGTGACTATGGCCAGGGATCATGGCTCTTGAATGTACAGATGTGCTGACAGTGATGAAGGTCAATTGGAGTCATTCAGTTTTTATTATTTAATTTTAAATGACAGTCCATCTAATGAACTTCATAAGCAGCCGTTTGAATAGTAAAGAAGGTCAAAACCTTAATAACAATAAGGGAAAGTAAAATACTTTGATATCAGGCAGCAGTGTACCAATTTAACACTGCTTGCAACTATTATTTCTCATTTCCCCACTTACTTCTATTTGGCTGCAAATACCTGATATACTTAGTCACATTATTTAGTCAAATTATTAGATTATTAGGGTCACTCTATATTACAAACATTATTAAATGTTAAAAACAAAAATATTATTTTATTTTAAATTATTTTGGAGTATATAAAGTATTTAGTATGTACAAAATACTGTCAAATAAAACTAAATTTAGCTTTCAACGAACTTTAGATATTTTGCTTTTGCTTTTCTCCTCTAAACTTCTGAGAATGTTTTTGTCTCCGCATTTTCTATTCTCTCCTGTTATGTTGTGATATTTCCCCTTCAAAAATATAGGATTGTTCGTTCTTAAAGAGATGAAATGAAAACCCTATCATAATTGAATCACACTCCAAGGTGTTTCAAACCTGTATGAGTTTCTTTCAGCTGTTGAACACAAAAGAAGATATTTCAAAGAATGTTGGTTTGTTTGGTGAATATATGAGGACAGAATTTTCATTTTTGGGTGAACTATCCCTTAAATCATAATCATAATGATTAGTATTTATTATGTTTACACCTAAATTATAGCGAAAAGCTCAATAATCCAACAATGTTCTGGAAAATTGGAATATGAATATATTTTTTAAATATTTTAAATAGCTTTAGCCATTTACTTTATGGCAAACAATATGTTTCTTTGTATTCATAACCAAGAGGGCATGCATTTTATTTTATTCAACAAACTCTCAAACAGTAAATCTATCACTAATGTTCATGCTCATGCTGTTTCATATTATAGATTTATGGCTTTAGGTTCAAAGTAAAAGAGTCTAGTTCTCTGATCATGACAAAACGTCCTCAGACGACTAGGCAAAAGCCCTTTCTAAAAAGAAAACTTTAAAAATGTGATGACATTTTTATTAAAACAGAATTTAGCTGTCATAGAAAATTAATGTGGGGCCCCTAATCTAAAGTGAACAGCCTTAAATCAAAGGTAATCTCCAGTTACTGTTTTATGACCATATGGTAATGAAGCAGGAAAACATTACTGGTTTATTAATTCATTTCCACTTAAACTCCTCGTACAAAAAAAGAGAGTCTTCTCTACAGATTTACTGCAAAATATGTCAGGCCTGAAAGCCTGTAGATTAGTTCTGCTGGCTTAGAGGAGATGAAACTGAAGCAAATTGCTTTGAGAATAAAAACCCAGCAGTGTCTGCAATCAACAATATAGTAGCTGGATCTTAGTTACAATCAGAGCATCACACACAAATAAATGCTCCTGTCCAACTCAATGAAATTGTCAGATCAAACATCAAAAATTCTTCACATTTGGGTTATATTCCCACACATAACCAAGAAAAAAGCTAAATAAATGAAATGTGTTTTTAAAGTATTTCTAAATATAATTACTATTAAAATATAAATAATAATATAATTGAAAACATTAGGTTCTTCTGAAAAAAATGTATACATTTATTCAGTAAGGACGCTTAAATTGATCAAAAGTGACAGTAAAGACGTTTACAATGTTACAGATGTTCCTATTTAAAAACAAATGCTGTTCTTTTGAACTTTCTATTCATCAAGGAAATGCTTAAATTATATCATAGTTTCCACAAAAATATGAAGCAGCGCAACTGTTGTGATGATAATAATAAGAAATGTTTCTTGAGCATTAAAGCATATTAGAAAAGTATATTAGAATGATTTCTGAAAGATCATGCGACACTGAAGACTGGAGTAATGATGCTGAAAATTCAGCTTTGTGTCACAGGAATAAATTACATTTAAAATATATTCAAATAGAAAACAGTTATTTTAAATTGTAATAATAATTCACATTATTACCTTTTTACTCTACTTGAATGAACTGAGAGTAACAGTTCTCAGTGGGAAAACAGCTAAATAAATATGCATGCTAAATATTATCCTTGAGATATAAGGTTAGAAAATATCATTATTGCTGTATAAAACCAATAGACATCTATGACAATTACCACTAATGACAGGAATGCAAATGTGTGTGTTGATGAGTAGAGGAACTCACCATCCATATCCAATCTCTGCATGATGATTGCCAGCTCCACTTCACTGGGCATGTACCCTAGTGAGCGCATGGCCATGCCAAGCTCCTGCTTGGAGATGAACCCGTTGCCATCCCGATCCAGGACCCTGAACGCCTCCCGGATCTCTGCCAAGACAAACAAGTGTGTGACTCAACACCTCAGGTGGCTTCCCATCATAAGACATCTCACTGGTCGTCCAATGATTGTAGTGATTTGCCACCTTCTCTGCACCTGCTATTACACCAGTGGCGACACACACTGCTGCGCTGTTTCTTTTCTCAAAATGCTTGTCAGATTCTTAATTTACTGTTCATTTTACTACTGAAAACTAAAAATTTTAACCAGCCACAAAAACACAACTTAAGGCCAGGCTTTTTCCTGGCTTTTTCTTTTGATATCTGCTCTACAGAGAAGGACTCTGCCTCTGAAATTCATATATATCTCAAACAGTGGAGACGAGGAGTTGGCTCCATCAAATGCATATTTTATAAGCGAATCATCTGTGAGGAGAAAACTTGTGGCAGCAAAGGATTGGTGTTTTAAAATAGAGCTTGAGAGTCACATCTCTGAAGAGCACAACGGTTGTGCTGCATGCTCGAGCACACAGCAGTACATTGGGTAATTTTGCCTACATATAACGCCAGTTGAAGTCAAGCAACCTGGGAATTAACACACAGGAAACAAAAGCTTTGACAACATGCTGTACTATTCTTATCCATCTAAATCAAGACTTAAAGGGATAGTTCACCTTCAGTTGCTGGTCCCCATTAACTTGCATAGTGTTTTTTTTCCATACTATGGAAGTCAACGAGGACCAGCATCTCTATCCCTTTAAGACGGCACATTATCATAGCAACAAGTTATGCTGTTGTAAGGGTCATACAGTACATTCAATTACACATTTGATAAGAGAAAAGGCTTTTAAAAAAAAAGATTTAAAAAATAATATTTTTTATTTATAATTTTTTTTTATATTAACTGCTAAATGAATAACAATTAGTTTGCCTTTTCTTTTTTGACATATCCTGGACAGTGTGACTGACAAGCTACTGTTATTTTTTCTTCTATTATAATACAAATATTTTTGCAAGCCATTGAACAGCTGATTTAAACACTAAATTAGGATTCCTAAAATGTAAAATTGAATTCCCATAATTGTTCCATGATATTTCCAGTCGTTTTTAGACTAATTCATTTTCAACATAATTTTATAGAGAATTCTGTGGCAGATTTCCATTTTAATTTCAGGTACAAATTCTTTGCAAGGGTAATTTATTCAATTATACATTTGATGAGATAAAAAGTCATTTTAAAAATAAAATTAATAACTGTTAAGAATTTAAAAAAGCAAACTAAAAAAAATCAATATATAACAAATAATTATAGCAATCATTAAACTATCTAGAATAGAAAAATCTCCAATAAGGAGAATAAATGCCCATTTTCTTAAGAAAGACCATTTTTGAATCCCCCCCCCCAAAAAAAAAAACAAACAAACAAACAAACATAATTAGCTAGTAATATCTGCCACCCAATGAATCCCACAAGCACTTATCCTCAATGAACACATTGATTTGATCAGTTATTACATTTTACTCTACATAAGGGCTCAAAGCTACAGTATATCTAGTGAGATGTTGGAATGTTTTAGAGCAGAGCATGACTATAAAAATCAATACTGACGACAGAAACACACACTACTTTCCATGCTTTTTTAAATTGTATTCATTTCCAAGACCTTTCCAGTTGTGAAAAACATTTCAATTCCCTTATATTTACAGGTTTTCCATGACTGGGCGAACCTGCTAATAAGACTGAAGTTCAACCCTATCTATTTACTAAAAGTGTCTCACCGACCATGTTGTCTGTCAAATAATCTGCAACTCACACCAAATCAGGATCAAACAGGCAAAAAAGTAGGTACCTATAAGCAGTGTTGGGCAGTAACGCATTACTTAGTAACGCGTTACTGTAGTTTGATTACTTTTTTAGTAACTGAGTAATTGCATTTTCAAAATAGTAATTAGAGTATAGTTACAAGCCGAAGTCTCTATACGTTACTGCCGCGTTACATTGCTGACAGAATGCAGTATTTTATAATCTAGAGCTTGTAAAAAGGATGTAGCACATGCACTGTCGAATCAAGTGCCAGTGGATTAGAGACCTGCTCCCGCGAGACCCGACGCAACAGAGTGCGACGCGGGACAAGATGGGCGAGTGCTGGTGCGGGCGGGTAGACACTCGTGTGTGCGCGGGATACGGGAGAATAAAAAGATTCACGGGACTCCCGCAAAATAGAAATATCTAAACATAAAATATCTCAAACAAATAAATTGTTATTCATCTATTGCACAAAAGCAACATGAACTCATATAAAATATAAACGATTAACAGGTGCAAGTGTCTGCAGAGTTTCTATTTAGGCTATAACACGTGTTTGCAGCGTTGAGCAATGCAGTGCTGAAATTTGTGTGCTCACAAATCCTCTCATTATAACACACAAATTGTAGACATTATGAAAGATTCATTATGCATATATTTATAGTGTTATAACAGAGATTTGTGAGATTGCTGGCATTCTGCCAAACCATGCACGCAGCAGCCGCTTGCTTTAGTTAAAAATAACAGTGTTCTGTGAATGTTGATGCTTTAATAACAAATATTTATCGGGAGCATGTATGCTGAGATTTCATAAATTTAATGGAGAAAAAAGTAACGTATCTATTAATGTAACTAATTACTAATTACTTTTGAAATAAAGTAATCAGAACAGTAATGTGATTACTTTAAAAAGCAGTAATAAGTAATTTGATTACATTTTCAGAGTAACCCAACACTGCCTATAAGTAACAATTAGCTTTGTCAGGAGGACATAAAAACACATCTCTAAAGATATTTATCAACCATTACATGTTTTATATATACTGTCACAATCATAGCCACACAAATGGCTTTTATATCAACAGTTATGCACATTTACACTGACAGTTATGTTTCAGAGCCAATTAAGAACATCTGTCTTAGGAAAAGGAGGCTGATCATTTTTATTCCACACAGACACACACATGCAAGAAGATTTTAGGACAGCTGCAAAGTGATTGCACAGTAAAGGCACTAGATTTGTTTTTGTACGTAGAGGCAAACTCATGAATATATGCATAAGGAGTCTGTTGCGGAAGTAAAGCCTGTTTGAACACAATCTTCTGAAACATTTTGTCCTCTCAATTCTGGCTATTTCTCTGACAAGCTGTGTTCATTTTAGAGGCGAAAATGGCAAATGACGCAATAATCAATTTTCAGATCTAATACCTTTAGATGCAATGAGATTATGCTAAGATATTTAACAGAAATGTCTTTCTTTCTACAAATGTGCTCTTGATATGGCTATTGACTTTTACAAATGTACAGAAATCTTCTGAAAATATATTTGCCTATTTTGAACATTTACATCAATGAGACAAATTATTATTCAGCAGTTTGTAAGCATAATGTTCCTCTTAAAGGGATAGTTCACCCAAAAAATTAAAATGTTCTATTAATTTACTCACCCTCAGGCCCCTGTAATCCATAGTGTCAAGCAAACGTTCTGGAATGATGTCCGGTTCACAAACGAATCATTCTTTTGAATCAGGTCACCAAATCGGACTGAACTGTCTGAAACAGTTCACGGCTCGAGCAGCAGAGATCTATAAGTTACTCAATCAAAAGCCAGTTTTGGCCAACTCATTCAACGCTCCAGTTACGCCAGCAATTCACTGAACTGAGGAAACGGCTCTGACTCGGACCGAAGATGGATGAGATGCTGATTTGCGCAGGCATGAACTGAGCACTTAAATGAAGGGGCAAAAAGCGAGTTTTTATAGTTTATCATTGTTTATGTAAAAAGGTGAGCTGATGAAAACAAGTTCATCCACTATGTATATGCTTTAGACATGTAAAACATCCACGTTTCACATCCTTATTGGGTGCTTTAATAATATAATTGCTTATACATTACGTCATTGTGTGATTATGTAAACAAACTGGTGAATCGTTTATTTGAATTGGTTCATTGAAACGAACTGTCCCAAATAACAAGTTCACGGAAAAAAATCAGGCTTCCTGGTTTGCCTGAGGTTATGGATTACAGGTAATAATGTTTTAAATAACATTAGTTTCTTGCACAGACCAATTATTTTGTTTTGTAAGACCTCAATATATCGTCAGGAGTCGCAGGTATTAATTTGTGTTGCCTGATATGATTTTTTTTTTTACTTTGAAAGTGACAGTAGCCATTAACTTGCATTGTATAAATCGCCAATGACTACAGTTTCAGCAAAAACACTTTTTTACTATTCTACTGAAGAAAAAAAGTCACCCTGCATATTGGATGTCCTGAGGTTAAGTTATTTTTGGGTGAACTATCATTTTAACATCTGGGAAATCTTATCACAGAAACATTTTTCTGCCATATCAAATGCAGATTCAGTTAGATTTGCTCTGCATTTAAATGCATTTTAATACTGTAAGAACTCCAGAACCCCCATGTTTCTCTTACACAAGAGTATCTCAGTGATTAAGACGCTAGTATTTGCTCACCTCTCCTGATACGATCAATACAAAATCAGCAGGACTCCAGCAACTGGATTTCACAGTTTGGACTGTTTCAGAGCAAAATCAACAAAGTCAATGACCTGTAGCAGCTCTGCATATCTGCAGATGCCCTGTGGTGTTAATATGTCACTTAAACATTCATTTTCAGGCCTCAAGGGTTCGATGTATTTCTCTTCATGTCCTTTCTGCTGACAAAGGCAGTGTTAACTGATTAGCACTTTGCCTCACTCGCCCCGATTCATGATGAAGAGTGTTGGGGGGACATGCGCAGCTTTTATTGTAATTTTTATAAATTTTTTGATTTATGATTTAATGCCTGATTTACATAAGACAACCAAAAACACTTCAGGGTAATGCTCAGTAATAGCCTTCATTAAAAAGTTATTAATAAAAAATTATATAATTCTTAAGGGATCAGTAATTCATTCTCATTCAGAAATGAATATACATGAGTACATAACTCAAAGCTAGCTGACACAATTTAATATCTCTTAAACACATTTATAATAATAGAATATAATATAATTGTCACGGCCGGTAAGGGGCACCGTGGAAAAATAGGGTCTGGGTCCAAATGCAGGTGAAAACTTATTTTATTCCCAACAGAAAGGCCGACAAGGCAAAACAAAAACAGGTCTAGGGACGACGAACGCCATTACATACACACAATACAGCCAGGCCGAGTGGTGAGTGAGAGGAGAAGATATAGTTAGTGACAACGGGGCACAGCTGAGGGTGAGTGTGATGAGTGGGTGACTGAACAGGTGTGTGGAGTTTGGGGAATTGGTGTAATGGGTGAACAGGTGTAGGGGGTTTGGGGAATGGGAGTCCGCGAGATGGCGCCCTCTGGAGGAGAGAGGGAGAACACCAGACGCCAGACCCTGACAATAATATTTGTGGTGGGTTTTTTTTGCATTTGCTGATAATGCGCTGATAATGAAAATGTTAGTCTCTCACCCTTACGCTGACTAAATTGTTTAGTAAAATTACTGTTGTTTTTGTTATTCAGAAATATTTGATTTATATCAGTAATAGGATCAATATCTTTGCCATTATTTAGCCATTTGACCTACAGTATAACTGTATCTGATTGACTGACAAACTCTACTAGCTTCATTTAAGAATATATGCTTTTTCATTAATGACTAATATATAATAATATACTATAATAACATATTTTGCTATCTTTCCTCAAAAATCCTTTATTTTTTTGTATTTTTTTTGTATTTCAACAACAGTACCAAATCTTCATAAAATAATACATAAATACATAACACCAAATGTAATTTAAAAGAAGTACACAAAGACACCAGGAAATTCATTCATTTCTGAATGAACTATTCCTTTAATGGGAATAATTATGAAGTGAATAACCTTCATAACCTTCACACTGAATAACCAATTGAAATATTAAGCCACCCTCATAACAAAAAAGTGGTTCAAAGTTTGACTTTCAGTAAATATAGAGCCAAGTATTTGTGTTTTTGTCTGTAAGGTCATGGCTCACCATCTAGTTCCTCCACCGAGATGTTGGCAAGCTGTTCGCTGTTGCTGTGTTCAGAGAGTGAGCGACTCAAATAGTTCCCCTTGTACAGCAATCCTGCCGTCACATGGTGGAACGGCATCTTCTCCCTGAGAGAGAGAGAGCAGAAGAACAAGCTCAACCAACCAGACCAAAAGACATGGCAATGATTTACACAAATCATACATTGCTGCAGATCTACATTAGACTATGATAGAGCATGCTTAAGTTGATTATATGAAAATGACCATTATTGTCTCCACGGAGGGCTCATCCGTCATCACTTTGCTCAGCAAATATCACTGTACTTCCAATGTTCTGCTGCATTATTAGGTGAAAATCTTGTTGTAAACGAATACGAAGGCTGTTTCAGTGCATATGACGATTAAAGCTAATGAAATAAGTAGCCATAAAATGGCAAGCTATTAAAGCTGAAAGCGTTCACTGGCCCTCTGAATTACCCTTGTGTTAGTGAACATATGGATGGAGTCTCCAGTGTCTGTGAGAGCGCAGTTATTGTTTACAGGTGTTTATTATAGTGCCATTAAAATCCTGCTGACAACTGCAGTTTTCACCTTTAACAACTGCATTTTCTCATATATGAACTAGTGGTCAACTAATATGGGTTTTATAATGGCTGCTACCAATAATGAGAAACTAGGGTGAATGATGGACAATATAATGTAGATATATACATAATACATTTTATAAACACTGCCGTTCAAAAGTTTGGGGATGGCAATATTTTTTTTAAGTATGTATTCATAAGTCTCTTATGGTCACCATTGCCATACAGTAAAAAGAGTAATGTTGTGAAATATTATTACGATTTAAAAATAAATGTTTTCTATTTCTATGAATATATTTTAAAAATGTAATTTATTCCTGTGATTAAAAGCTGAATTTTCAGCAGCATTATTACAGTCTTTGGTGTCTCATGATCTGTCAGAAATCATTCTATGTTGATTTTGGTGCTCAAGAAACATTTCTTACTTTTATCAATGCTAAAAACAGTTGTGCTGCTTAATATTTTGGTGGAATCTGTGAAATCTATTTGAAACAGAAAAATATTTTGTAACATTGTAAATGTCTTTATTGTCATATTTTTTCAAATTAATGTGTCCTCGCTTAGTTAAAATATGAGAATAAAAGCTTTTTTCTTTCAAAAAAAGAAAAAAAGAATCTTACTGACCCCAATTTTTTGAATGGTAGCATATAACCAACAAGATGTTTTTTTTATTACTCAACTAATTATTAATGTGTTCATTTTACAATAAAAATGGTAACACTTTGTTTTAGTGTCCTTGTTACATGTATTTACTATAGTAATAACAGTGAATTATGTATAATTACAAGCAGCTAACCCTAAACCAAACCCTAATCCTATAGTAAGTACACGTTGCTAATAAATATTACTCAGTCCTTAACTGTACTATATAATTGCACTGCAACAAGGACACCATATAATAAAGTGCAACCAGAATATCTGAATAAAAAAGAATAATAATTTTGTATCTGAAACTATATATAATGACAATTTCTGCAATTTCAGTTATAGGTCGATATGATAGTCTCAAAATGGCCACATAATAGACAGTATATTGATCCTAGTATAATATAAACGGAATAATTCTGCATACCCAAAGTAACAGTAATTTTGCTAAACAAATGTATGCGGAGTTCAAGAAGTCAACATAACAATAACTACAAATCAAGCTAGAATTGCTCTTTATGTGGAAATCTCTCATTTCAAAGATGTCATGGTTAGCATGAGCAGAAATTCTCTATTAATTGTTCAGCAATGTTAAAGCTGTGGGAATCATTTTAATACAATGGTGTCAGATAGAGATGTGAGACGGAGTTTCTCTCAGTAATTGGGCTCTGTGTTGATTAGTATGAAGTGAGTGCCTTTCGAAAACATGAGCTTTAAAAAATGGGCTTGAGTGTCAAAAGCCCACTCAAAATGCACAGCACTCCACATCCTGCAGGCCGTTTCACAGATCAAGATGGATTCTGAGCGTACCAAGTACTCCCACAACCAAACCCACTGAAGGCTTTACTGTAGTTTCTGGCTCATGGCCCATATGACAGCCGCCAACCATGCTCTAGCTGTTATTAAAATACATCCAAAATAAATCAAGCTTTCAACATGTAAAATTGTTTAGATTAGCCTTAGATTTAAAGTGGTAGAGAAAGCATAACTGACCGCAGCGTTTTACTTACAGAAGTTGAGTGTTTCTGTATAAAACTTCACAGTATTTGTTGATATTGGTTTTTCTATATCTGATGCTGATAATAAATTATATCTAGAAAGCAGGGTGGCCAATTAAATGTGGCCATTATGTGGAATCTCCTTTATAACTAATAGGATTGTGGGTGGATTTTTTCCTGTTTCGGCATGACAATGTGTATACTGAAAACAAAAGTAAAATAAATAAATATATATATATATATATATATATATATATA